GCGCAGAAAGACGTGATATGAGAGTATTTTGGGTACATTTGGGGTATCAGGAATATGATAATGATAGAAGTAGCAGATACAGAAACTATTATTGGTAGTTAGATCATTCACTGCCAATAGAAGTTAGTGTCAATCCTATATCTATCAGTTAGATCATAGAGTTAAAACCAAACTTTGTCTGTTCCCTGATAACATACACACATCACCAACTAACTGCTATTATTATCAGAGTTATTTATCCAGACATGAACCTCCCCCTACTGTTCTATGTCTGGTATAATCATTACAATATATTAGTGTACTCATGTGAGTTACGTCTGTCGCTGTTACCAATACCATTATTATTTGTCATCTGTTGATTAATTAATGTTAAAAAAACACATTTTTGCTATAAAAAAAACACATCACATATACCTTTATAATGCATACTGCAATAGACTGTAATGTGATCTAATTCTGACACATTTAATTCAGACTATAATACATTTTATCAGGGTTCCAAATTGCATTTCTGCTCTCTAAATTGCACAATAGAAATGATTTGAAATTTTCCATGGGGGGAGGACAGAAACCATACAGGATATTTTTCAGCTAAGTCTCCAAGTGAGATCTGACTTCCCTTTATCAAGAATATTATCTAGAATATTCTTTAGACTTTTTGAATAACAAGTAAATAGCAGGATCAGGAAACACTCCAAAAGCGGCAAACGTTTGTTTGTTTTCATTTGTAACAATAGAAGACAGCCATACTTTATTAAATGAATACATTTCATTCTTAGTTTAAACCGTTCTTTGATATCTTGTTTATTTACTGTGCAGGAATAATTCCAGAAACTGAGAGGGTGGTTAATGCCTCATTTAATCTGTTATTCCATTCCTAGACTATTTGATATTCTATTTCTATGAATTGCTGGTGTTTGATAACATGTAGAAGTTGTTAAAATAATAGTGAGAGCACACTAGGTATTGTAATCATAAGATTAAAACTGTCTTCCGTGACTATGATAAGAAACCATAGAATCTTTGTGCTTATCAATAAACAAATGGTATTCTAATTCGTAACTAGGCCTGTATTATCCGTTTAAACCACCAAAATATTACCAAAATTCTTATCATAAAATTCACAAACCCTGCAAAAATTGGGCTACCGGTAAGTCTAAAAAAAAAAATTGGGAATCAAGTCCTCAAACTTCTTTATTCAAATTTCAAACTGTTTTTGAGGATCATAATATATGTAACTGACTACAGATAATCAAAAGTAAAAGGACAAATGGATGAATGGGTTTACAGTATTTTACACTATTAATTGGATTTAGTTGTTGTATTCTTTACATCTGTAGAAAAATAAATACTGAATTAACAGATTCTTTTCTGTATGCACAAACTTTTTGGATTGAGGTTTGTAAATCCATAGCTTTGTGCAAATTTTGGTTTGATATTAAAATTATTTGACATATGATTTGAATGAAATTAAATTCAAAGTCTTGACTTGAATACCAAATTTTCTTTTTTCTGGGATTTCGATCACAGTTTATCTCCAGTATTTCAACATCATGGAAGGCTAATTGGGTTGTTTCAATTTTAAGTGACAGTTGCTTATACGAATGATACAAATTTCCTTGTGTATGTCAAGATTTAGATCGTTATAATAGAAATAGATCTGTAAATTTGGCTTTTCAGAGGTTTCTTTGAAACCTCGTAAGTGACCAACTTCAAAATCCAGAAAATACATAGCATGCATCTTTTATGACATTTCTTCTTTATTTGTACCCCATTAGAACCGATATTAAATTTATATCATATATGCATGGCACTTATTAATTTAATTATTTCTGCAACATGTAATGAAATGAATGGTCCCTGAATGTAAATTAGACTAATCTGATTACTGTAAATATATGAATGTTTATAGGTGTTTGGGTACATTTGGTTCACATATGTATTTGTTGGCTGTTTTGAAATAAAACATGACTTTGTATATTTACGTAAGCAATAAATAACTGTGCTTCCTAGAGTAGAAAGTAATTATTTTAAATATCACAGGGAGTAAATTATTAAGCATTTTTAAGTCCTCGAAAAATTGTCCAATTGGTGGGGTGTCTGTTAAGGAAGTTGTTAACATGCTGTGTTCAGATGTAATTGGTAATATCTGACGTGATGATGAAAAGTAATAATTATTTTTTTGTGAAGTTTTAATTTTAACTGTAGTAATCAAGCTATGATTAAACACAATTGCTGTCAAATAGCACATCTGTGCGAAAACTGTTTCTTGGAACACACTAAATCATTGGCCATCTAGATGGCAAGTGTTAACTGTTGATTTAAGTCTCTTGAATGGATCTATATGGATTTGAAGGAAATTGGGCTAATTTGTTTCAATTCTAATACTATTAACAATTTTCTATAATAAATTCCTCCTGGTCTTGCAATTTTTTTTTTTAATCTCTTCAAAACTGTTTCTTGGAACACGTCAAATCATTGGCCATCTAGATGGCAAGTGTTAACTGTTGAGAATGGATGTAGACCAACCCTTCTTGTTTTTAACCCCTGACACTATAGTGGTATTAACTATGTTTAAAATGTTCCACCTGCTTCAACTAGAGGCATGTGTTGAGATATATTAATAGGATGATAACATGTGGTGGGGTATCACTGTTGAATAACCTTCTTCTATCATCATTCAACTATCACCAACTTTTACTCCCAGAATATTCTCCTGATTATGATGTTTGTGATAAACTGATAATAAGAGGGTTCTAATGTCTTCATTTCTGGTGTTAATATTCTCAAGTAATGACATTGAGTCAAATTCTTGGTAATTAAGAAACACTATAAAGTCAAGGTGGTGAAATTGAATCCTGCTAATGGTAGTTATGTTAACAGTTCATTTAGACATGAATATTCACTGTCAGCACTCAACAGATAACCCACATTTTATCCTTAATAGCCACCAGACCCAAACTTTAGTTACATATTTCAACAGGATAGTTGTCACCAAACATATCTGAATTATATACCTGGGCCCTTATTCACGAAAACTTAAACTAAGTTACAACCAAAATTTTAAGAAATACTGCAACTTCATGGGATATATGCAAATTGATTTTACTGGTCAGCCAATCGAATTGCAGTGTTTCTTAAAATTTCGATTGTATCTTAGTTTAAGTTTTCGTGAATAAGGGCCCAGCTATTTGAATCATTGTTAAGGTAGCCATCATAGTTTCTTAGATACAGTGGTATTACTTCCTCAATCCTGCAACCTTTACCAAAATATAGTATGCTTTAGTTTAAACTGGTTTAAGAACGCCGGCAGTCGTTAAACCAGTCTAACTTTGTCTTCTGAATGCAACATTTTAAGATATAAACCAGGTTAAAAAAAAAATCATCTTTTGGCATTCATTGCTTACTCTGATTTTCAATAATTAAAATAACTTTTGAAAATTAATTAAAGATCACAGAAATTAAATTTTCTGCTCAGTAATCAATTAATTTCTGATCACTAATCTAAAATATTGTTTAGATTTTTTAAATTAATTAATTGATTTTTAGCAGGTAGAAGAATGAAAACTGAATCTAAATATTTGAGGCATCAAAATCTATCAAATGTTAAGTACAATATATTAAATTTATGCCTGTTGTAAAAGTGTCAGTTTTATATACCACATTTAAAAATTATGATTAATAATAGCACATACAGAGAAAAAAAAAGCGTTAATGAAAACATGAGTTGTATAAAAGAATATAAAATGAATGAATATATAATATTTTGACCTACTATACAACACTATAAGATTAGTATGTAACTCTGTATTTTGTGAATAATAGCTAGGATAAGAATAGTAACCTGTGACAAAGTGTGACATTATATGCTATTAAAGTCTTTTTGATACACATGGCTTTTTACACTTAATCTAACCGCCTAGTAAATAGAAAAGTCAAAAGCGGTCTATTGTATGACAAGAAATATTTTCCCATATGACTAATGGACGTTACATTAACGATACAGAAATCACCATAGAAAATATTTGTTCATTTGCTATAATAGATAATCGAGTCAATTGCAAGCGAAAATATGATTAATAATCGTGTGAACTCGGAACTGTAATAAATGTCTATTATTATTACCGAATTGCGAAGGAGAAAATATCTAACATTAACAATAAAACACCATTATAGATGGATTTGTACTTTATTTATAAACTGGATTGATATGGTAACTTGGGGAAATAATATGGATTCCTGTCCACGGCCATTCGACTGCCAGACAGTAGAATTGATAGACAATCAGTAATGTGTGAATTTGTCAATATTTGTGTATTATGTAATATAAGGTAACTATAGTGAAATTTAAGAGGCTGAGAGAGAGAGAGATACTGATGAAAAGTCTGCTAGAGGCAAGTTAACTATCTGACTGATAGTATCTCTCTGTAGAATCAAAAGAGTTTCTGTAGCAAGAAGCAGGCTAGCCACGTGTTGTAAGGTTTTTAACCATAGTTCACAAATACAATGTGCTCTACTCGACATGTATAGGCTACTCGGTCTACATAGAGAACTAATACGATATAGACCCACACTTTACCAGTCAACTATAGCATATTAGTTGTTATTGTATTTTCTAATAGTGACTATATAATAAGTTGAGGTCTTTTTACCTAGTTTGTATGGAGAATAATAACTGTGTTTAACAACATATTTACCAATACGTTAAGTTTAGTTAATAGCATGGAGTAAGTCGAGCGAATCAAGTCACAGGGATATCGGTGTTAAAGTGTGGTATAAGACTATAATATAGGCTTATATAGGATATGTCAAATAACCCTGTTCACTTGAGTTCAGAAAACATCTGATCTGTGCAACTGATTTATTTAGAATACAATTGGCATCAGATGGCGTTGAGAGACTAGACACTATACAACAGATGAAAGATATGGATTTTTTTTTATGGCATTTGTGTACCAAGTTGCATCTTATTGTGACTGTGATCATGAAATAAAACATTATCTCCTATTTTAGTGACCGTGTAATTGACAAAGCATGTAAAATAAACCGTTGTTGGCTCTATTCATTGTTTAAGAGAATCCTATTTGTGAATAGTAGCTGGTAAACAAGCTTAGTTTATGTGTTTATATGAAAACAATAGTGTACATAGTTCCTAAGTTTAAGTATTGTGCGTATCGAAATTGCAAATGTCAACCTAAGAAAGAACATTAGGATTCAGGAATTTTTGTCATTCTGTGACTGCTATTAAAAGAATATGTCATATTATATATTTTCTAAGAGCTTCTAATTGAAGCCAACGAAGCGTGAAGAGAGAGGAATTTTTTGATCGATGCCAGATTTATTGAATATTCCTGTCAATGGTCAAGATGGAATGAGGGATACTTTTAAATGGTTTGGATTGTATGAGATGATAGAAAAAGTTCTTTTATCTGCTAAAAGTAACTTGAAATATTGACAAAATTACAATCTATTGAAAAACTGGCGTCACTATTACTGATCAGTCAATACAACCAAGAAACGAGAAATTTGTCGAGAATTGATATGAAAGGAATTAGTTCTTGTTGATCAAATTACGAGGAATGTATTTAATGTAATCGCTTAGAGAGGATTATTAAAGCTTATAGTAGTAGGCTTTACTCTCATATGTGCATAAGTTCCATTCTGATGACACAAAATTGATTGGATTGATAAATAGTTTACTTACCGCCGCTATTAACTATTGTACACTCATACTCGATAGATAATCAACATAATTATTCGCCAATTAATATAAGACTGGAAGAGAGTGAATGAATTGTTTATATCTTTTATTTACAAGATTCTGTGATTTCTCGGTGGTGCAAGTTGATAATGCTTTTTTGAGTGAAAATGCGAACATGTGCTTTCAGCAATAACAATTCTGTGATCATTCAGTTTGTTGTGATTCATGGTTAAGATAGCATTGGCAAACAATAACTATATATATATGTATATATGCGTGTGAATGTGGTACACTGTTGATACAGGAGTAAATAAGAAGTTATCAGCTAAATTTGAACAATGACATTAAATGGTATATTTTTATCTACTAAATACCAGAATAAATTGATGTTAAGATGAAAATGATAAAGGTTCTAGTTGCTTGGTTGGTGACTTGTTAACTATTGGTTAGAGAGGGAAATATCAATACTTAATCTGCTATATGGTGAACTACAGTACATTGGGGACAGTACACAGTAGGGACTCCTACAACTTAGAAAGTAAAAGTTGCGTTACTCGTGGTAAGTGTTAAAGATACCTACTGTTATTACAGTAGGATAAAGAAGTAATTTAGTGGAGATTATGGCAGGATGTAGATGAAGTAAAGGAAACAAGTGTATATACTGTTGTGCACTATTAACTAATAGCGTTGAATGGGATATTCTAGTGTTTTATTTAAAGAAATTTTATTGGAAAGATTTTGTGATCAGCAGGTTCTTTATGCCTTTCAACATGTTCTTGAGGCATCGATAACAGTTGTGTAGATATTGAGGGAAACGAGTGTACATGCCGTGGTCGACCATTAACTAATATTATTGAATGAGATTGTGTTAGAATTTAATGAAATTAAGTTAGAGCAGTGATTGAATTATTTAGAGAACCATGTGGAGTATTATTCATGCCTATCAACAATATGCTAACATGGGACCGTACCCTCTACCTGCATTACCTCCTAGACCAAGGTAAGAATTAATTTATATATTGAAATTGGGGGGAGGGGAGAGGGGTGTGCATGAGGAGATGATGAGTGGGTGGCAGTTTTGTTATAACAGTTTAAACTCACAAAATTCTACATGCTACTTTACAAAAATTTGATAACTCGTTATCATATAACATATAAAATTTATTTATCAATCAAGAACGTTTTTTTTAATAGATGTTTTTGATTATAAAACAGTCAGTTTGACAATAAGATTTAATTTCTTGATTACCAGTTATAATAGATTGTACTCCTTTAATTTGTTCGTTTTTCGTACAGCTATTTAGAACAAAAATTGAGGTGAGATGTGATGTGCATATTTGCCGCAGGCCTAAGTTGTAATTGTTTATTCTTCTTCAGTTTTTGTCCATGCTTCTGTTTGAGTTAACACATTTTAACATATTAATATCTGTCTATAAGGTAGATTTTTATCACAATCTGTATATAAGAAAGATGGTATCACCACTATGAACCTCAATGATACTCTGGTTACAATGACATTAAAGGTTTTCAGATCATTATCTGATGATGAAGGAAGACAGTTATATAAAAAAATGATGCATCTGTTTTGTTAAAACTTAGACATTTGATTGTGATCAGTATTTCTACTTGTAAAAGATAACTAATTATTTTCATAAGTGACAATGCAATCCTGTTATAAGAAACAAGAATGAAAAAATTTGATATATATTTAGCATGAGTTGATCACAGGTAAAATAGTAATTTGTATATAGGAATGTACTCATTTGGTTTAAGAAACACCTAATAAACCTTTCAATAATAGTGACCTAATTTCAAGACTCGAAATGCCCTGAAGCAATACTTAATTTTTAAAAAAGAATCTCTGAAATATAGAAAGTCATAATGACAATTATCTTAATATTACTGAATTGTGGTTATGTAAAAAGTTGGGAAATCAGGTTTTTGATATTTTGCTTTTCAGCCTATTTTACTTTTTCGGGTTCACGAACGTACAATTCTGTATAGATGTAATAAAACTAATTGACAACAAGCACATTTAAAACCGGTGATTGGTTGACATTAGACAAAGTGACACGGTCTGGGTCCAGTGGACATCTGATTTATTTAATTGATGCTGTAAAATCAGAGATAAAGATAATGAATAAGATAATACAATGGGATTAGCAAAATAAATATGTATGAATTATTCACTCAAGGTATTCTATTTATTTTTAGCATCAATGACAAAGCTTGTCATAAAGAAACATTGAAAGTTGCTGATCTCAAAATATATAACTAATATAATCTCAACAATAAGATATTAATATTTTATGTATTATTAATATGATTGACACATACATCTTTGTTACTGCATATCTCTTCTTAATGAGCACTTAAGCTTCAGTAAACTGCGTAATTAGGTTCTATAATAACAGCCCATGATCAAATGTTTAATATTTAATTCCTTAATCTACAGAGATTTTAATTCTATTGGTATTTACCTTCGATTCTATTAACTTAATTGATTAGGTTTTTTTTCCTCACATTCTACATTCTTGGTTGTGTTAAAATGTCAAGAGATTTTTCGTGGTATTGTGTCAGGGTAATTTAAACAATGGCAAGACCAACATATTGATTATATTGTTCAGATTATTTTACTATAAATACCTAATATTCCCATTATTATTGTTTAACTTCTACACATGCGATACTATTGAATTAAGGTGCTGAGAGTAAACAAAAATTAAATATGAATAATGTGAAGAAATAATGTTAGATATGAATGTCAAATATTGCTTAAATAATGTACATGAATAATATCAAATTATGTACACAAATAACTTAAAATGTGAAAGTGAATAATGTCAAATGTGTAGATGAATAATTTCAAATTGAAACATGAATTATTTCAAATGTGTTCGTGTGATTCTGATTAGCGTCGTGAATCTGAATAGTGTCATGTGTATTTGAATAAACATGAATAATGTAAGATGTGTACATGAATATAGTTATATGTGGATATGAATAATATTGTATGTGCATAGTAGTAGACCTATCACATACAGGATTGCAGACAGAGACCGAAAAAATATTTATTACATTAAATAACGTCAATAAAATTTTCTAAAACAAGTGTGGGCAAATATGACGCTAGTATTCAAGCATTTATTACACGCTTACATATACTGTCTCAGTTTTTTCGTCACGTAATGAAACAATTTTCAGACAACTTTGTAAAAATCAGCACGCACAATAATACAATACATGTATGTAAACAATAACATATTTTATGTTAGCAAAAGGTCATTTGGGATGAAAAGAATAAAATAAAAAGAAATTAAAACAATGAAGTTGACTGTAGTCACAGTTTAAAAAAGTACACTGGCAACCATGCTGTTTTAAACGTGAATAATTGTGTATTTCATGGTAAATGTTGGCGTAAAAAAGTCGAGGAAGAGACCTGTTGTGTACATCTGATGTAGAAATGGTTAGATGTGTTTTGATGGTTATGGCAATTACAACTGACGATTTAATGTGCATTTCCTGCTAGCAGATCATTTAATAGATAACATTCTCCTTACATTTATGTCTTATGTTTTTATTCTTATTTTCTTAAGTAAAATTATTTATTTTAAAGAAAATATCCAAATCATACAGGATGTTAGACAGACTGTTAAACCCCATTTATTGAATTTACATCAAATTCCCCAAAAAGGATCAGTAAAAAAAAGTCATTAAAAGATACCTTCCAATGTACAAACTGGGTGATTTGATGATATATTTTGACTAAAAGCATATTCAAAATAATTAATTTATCAAATATTTGCTTTAAATCCCTCTTTTTCCGCAGTTTTTATCTCAGAAACTGTTGTATGTTTAAGTCTCTCACTTTGTCCACGTCCACTCACCATCAAGTTCATCAACATATACATTAAGTGCTTCCTAATGCAAAGAGGTCAGACAATCCAAGTTTTGAAGTCACTCGAGCAGACATCCCCGATGATCATTGGGCTGTCAATTAGTGACACCATCTCATTTTTGTCCTGTGCGCACTCCATGGGTGTTTTTCAGGGAATCTTTTCTAATAAGATTTGGATGTCTCTGCTTTCCATATATACCAAAATTGCCATACTTTTATTGGAAATTACCAACTGATAAATACTTTTCTGGGAATGTATCTTTAATAAGGGCATTAATTATTGACAGGTAAGATTTACCAAAAAATAGGTATCAGTCTTTTATAGGAATAAAATCATTAGATAAGCAATAAGTATTTAAAAGGAAAAATAAAAACTAATTTCCCACCAATAAACTATATTTTTTTATTTTTTTTTAATTGGATTGGGGGTATTTCCCTATGAAGTCTACACGTACTCACATCCATACTGTTACTATTATATTGCCAACAATTCCCAGTTTCCATAGTACAACCGTCCTTTTTTTATTATTAATTTCTTATATCTATCTTTTCTGACATATTTTACCCTAAGATAATAACCAAACTTCATTCTGAATTTTGAATCTACAAATAAAATGTTGGGTCGGTAATTAGGATGAAAAAACAAAATTTGCAGCTTGCAGCAACCTGTTTCTAATGTTAACAAAGATTGGTTTATTTTTTCATTGAAGACAAGTTTATGGAAGAGTTGGCTTTCTCTCTGTCTGTGTGGGAGGACAGTACAAACTGTGTAAAAGGGGGCCAAAAAGTACAAAAATATATAAATAAATAGTTCACACGCAGCTTGCAATATTTTCTTCTATTAATAGATAAACCCTGATTATATAAAATCTTATATAATATTACACAATACTTTAAATTTTCATCAATAGAATTTTTAAGCAGATGTAATTTGGATAATATGCCTTAATGTTTATCGTTAATATGTTCCTTGTCAGAACGCAGGTACGCTTGGACCAATAATGATTATGCCAAGGATAATGATTACCTATGTAAAGGACGTCTGGCAAATAATCCTTTTAAAATAGTCAAATTTCTTTGAGATGAGACATAGATTATCAGTAGTCGTCAAACATAAAGGATCTATTAAACCATTGTTTCTGATTGACTAGAAGATAAATCTGATTGGCTCTTCTTGACTTTACTGTTGATTCATTCAGGCCTAACTACCTGTGTTGACAAATAGCTGATCATCACCTTTAATTTATTGTACTGTTTATTATAAAAGATAAATAGCACTTTATGCACAGACTACTGGTAATTTCGTTGTGGTATTAAAAACAATTTAAAGTGCATAATGATATCTGATGATTGGTGACATATAACTGTAATGGTTAGCATAACCGATAATTGTTTTAACTTTTTTAACCTTTTGACCCTAGAAATTTAAATGATAAAACAATTGAACTTTTGATTGTACATGCTCATATCTGACTTGTTCATCTAAACAAGCAGAAAAACAACTAGCAAAAAAAATAGTCAATGACAGGTCTCAAAGGAAAATCAACAAAAAGAAAAAGAAAACACCAGAAAAAAGATAAACCACAATAACACTGTGGTTAAGAATTTCTGATTATAATGATGAAATTTATGAAGGATGGACACAGATAGAATGTGAATTTTTAATTCTTTATTAAAATAATGATATAAGATGGACACAGAGATAAAATTATTTTTAAATAAAAATGATAATTTTTGTTGTTTTTTTTTTTTGTTTTTTTTTTAAAAACAAACAACTAATAATTGATATATCTATGTCAGAATCATCAAAGCTGTACCTTTATAATTAAAAGTCGAACTTTATTACAGAGTTGAAACCCTGCTGATGCTTAATAGCTGTATGTGGGTTATATGTATACTTAACTTAATGATCCATAGGTATTTAACCTAATTATAAACAGTTGGTGGTCATAGGGATTATTTGTAAAGTTAATTAGTATGATGGATTCGGAATGAAGTGATATACCGAAATATAATCTTCTCAACTTAGGCTTGGTTGTGAAAATTTTTCCAGATTGGTCTTAAAAATATTAGGAATAATTAATCAATGTTTCAGTAAGATG